TCCAGTGGCTGTCTCTCGCCCGACACCGATGCGCGGAAGAGGGAACCCCCCCCTTCAGCCTCATCGGCTAGGTCCACTTGAGATCCCCACAAGCTCATTCTCCTCTGTGCCTCAGCAGCGGCGGGTCCTGAACCGCCGGAAACCGATGGTTGTCCCTCTCCCCTCGAGAAGAGAGACAAATGAGAGCGGAGCTTCTTCAGAGAAAAGCTCTCACAGTGCACACAGATTGCCCCCTCGAGGACATTGCGTGCGTGCTCCTCGCCCAAACAAACAACGCATAGATCGTGTGAATCATCGGGTGTCAGAAACCGCTGACACGGATGTACACACTTTCTAAACGCTTCGCTAGTGCTCGCCATAGTAGGAAAGAAAAGCTCTTACTTTGCTTTTTGGAATGCACGCTTCAAACAGACCGGTCAGTGAAGACAAAGAAAGTGAATGATGTGCGCTACCGGCGCCTATTTTGTACTAGTCGCGGCGGTAGTGACGTCATGGCTGTTGCCCCTAGAGGACGCAGTTTGAAGTTCCACGAAAGGGAACACTTCATGAGAACCTGAATTCATTACCTTTTGAGTTTGTGTTTAGGTTAGAAAAGGTTAAGAAAGACTTCTCTCACTGTTTCCCAAGTGAATCATAATACGCGTATTAAACGGACAAGATAAATGCTGGTCATCACATTGTTTATCAGGTTTCTTTCAACAAAATGCATGACTGGCCACATTAACTTTATGTTATTTATAGAGCCAACCTTCACATATTTCATGGTCAAAGATAAGGACATACCATAGCATCTGACTTTTTTTTTGTTACCTACTTCACGCTAAAATCTCTAGAAGCACATGCTCTCTTCTGCCTATACTTGGAGAGTCACCGCTGATTCCAATCAACGTGGATTCTTCCAGAAGCTTTGGGGGCCGACTGTTTCCTGACTCTGATAAGAGCCTGTCGGTTTGAGTCCTGATGGCCAGGTGACCTTCACTCCCTTAAGCATTATTCATGCTTAACGCCCATATATTTCCCCTCTAATTCATCTTTTTCATAATTCTGAAAAAAGTAAAAGAATAAGAAGACTGGCAAAAACTCCATGTAGGTCATTTTATTACTTGTCCGAATCCAAATATCTGACCGAATGCGAGGGCCCGGGCAGGAATGCTAATGCAATAGACAATCAATTTGATGCTGTGTTGTTCAATAGGAATGATCAAGAAAACTGCACACTTCATAAACAGCATGAAGGCTGGCTGGCGCAACGTTAGAGTATTGTGGGTAGTGCAGGCTGATCAAATTTGGAGGGATTTACAGCTTGTTTCCTTGCGGCTGTGGCTGCTTACGTCGGCTCGTTTTGCACGGAACAACCGGTTCATGTGATAAACTGAGATGTTGACCAAGGACTCAGTCTCATAAGAAATGGTTTAGCTTGTGGTCAGAGTGAGCATTTTAAACATGCGACAATAAGAAGGGCTTTGCTCTATGTTCGACAGCTCTAGCGTGGAGGCATCGGTGCAGCCATCTTTGGAAAATGGCCAGTGTAGTCATTATCCTCCATATCAGCACATCAGCAGACATTTGCAGACAGCTAAATTATGTCTTGCGGGAGGCTCAGGCATACGGTGTCTGGATGGCATCCTGTGCTAATTCACATTCCTGTTTTATGCAAGATGCATCCAGCAACTTATTTGTGTTTGGATCTCAAACTCCATTATCTGCAAGTGTTTTACCAAAATATTTTTTCTATTTCTGCTATGTTTAAAGTGTTTCTTTGTCTTCCTGCTCTTTTCTCTCTGATAGCACAATGTACCGAGGAGTGTGCCCATGGTCGGTGTGTGTCTCCTGATACATGTCAGTGTGAGCCAGGCTGGGGAGGACTGGACTGCTCTAGTGGTGAGTTCACTCTCTCATTAACTCTGAGAGTACAGTTCACTTCATTAAGGCCCTCTCACTCTCACATAGTTAATGGCTGCACCAGTCCCCAGACGCCACTACAAAGCTACCATGTTTCTCAATTACTCGCTGCCCTCTCTTCTTTTGCCAGCTGTATTAAAAAGTAAAGCTGGAAATCACAGAGGACGAATGAGATGTGTAATCATGCAGTTGCATTAACAAGTTACTTTTTGTGCTAAAGCTCTGGGAGGAAAAAACACTATTTTGATTAGTTATTTCTGACTATGGAATTTTTTTGACAATTTCTCCATGTTTTGCCAATTTGCTAATTGTACCCAAAACATTGTGCACAAAAAATGTGTACAACATATAATGCAGATGTGTTTATAAATAAATTAAAGAAAATAAGTTTTACTTACAGAAATCTGAGTTTTTAAATTATACACACACACATATATATATATATATCAGTGGCGTCCTGTCCATAAAAGCTGTGAATGCTCCACATACCCAGATTCATCTTTTTCATAATTCTGAAAAAAGTAAAAGAATAAGAAGACTGGCAAAAACTCCATGTAGGTCATTTTATTACTTGTCCGAATCCAAATATCTGACCGAATGCGAGGGCCCGGGCAGGAATGCTAATGCAATAGACAATCAATTTGATGCTGTGTTGTTCAATAGGAATGATCAAGAAAACTGCACACTTCATAAACAGCATGAAGGCTGGCTGGCGCAACGTTAGAGTATTGTGGGTAGTGCAGGCTGATCAAATTTGGAGGGATTTACAGCTTGTTTCCTTGCGGCTGTGGCTGCTTACGTCGGCTCGTTTTGCACGGAACAACCGGTTCATGTGATAAACTGAGATGTTGACCAAGGACTCAGTCTCATAAGAAATGGTTTAGCTTGTGGTCAGAGTGAGCATTTTAAACATGCGACAATAAGAAGGGCTTTGCTCTATGTTCGACAGCTCTAGCGTGGAGGCATCGGTGCAGCCATCTTTGGAAAATGGCCAGTGTAGTCATTATCCTCCATATCAGCACATCAGCAGACATTTGCAGACAGCTAAATTATGTCTTGCGGGAGGCTCAGGCATACGGTGTCTGGATGGCATCCTGTGCTAATTCACATTCCTGTTTTATGCAAGATGCATCCAGCAACTTATTTGTGTTTGGATCTCAAACTCCATTATCTGCAAGTGTTTTACCAAAATATTTTTTCTATTTCTGCTATGTTTAAAGTGTTTCTTTGTCTTCCTGCTCTTTTCTCTCTGATAGCACAATGTACCGAGGAGTGTGCCCATGGTCGGTGTGTGTCTCCTGATACATGTCAGTGTGAGCCAGGCTGGGGAGGACTGGACTGCTCTAGTGGTGAGTTCACTCTCTCATTAACTCTGAGAGTACAGTTCACTTCATTAAGGCCCTCTCACTCTCACATAGTTAATGGCTGCACCAGTCCCCAGACGCCACTACAAAGCTACCATGTTTCTCAATTACTCGCTGCCCTCTCTTCTTTTGCCAGCTGTATTAAAAAGTAAAGCTGGAAATCACAGAGGACGAATGAGATGTGTAATCATGCAGTTGCATTAACAAGTTACTTTTTGTGCTAAAGCTCTGGGAGGAAAAAACACTATTTTGATTAGTTATTTCTGACTATGGAATTTTTTTGACAATTTCTCCATGTTTTGCCAATTTGCTAATTGTACCCAAAACATTGTGCACAAAAAATGTGTACAACATATAATGCAGATGTGTTTATAAATAAATTAAAGAAAATAAGTTTTACTTACAGAAATCTGAGTTTTTAAATTATACACACACACATATATATATATATATCAGTGGCGTCCTGTCCATTAAAGCTGTGAATGCTCCACATACCCAGGCCATTTGAGAGTTAATAAGTTCATGGGATAATTCATATAAACATGATTGTATGTTGATCACTTGTCATTTGAAATGTAGCTTAAAGAGTTAGGAATAAGTATGTCAAATAATTTTTTTGCCAAACGGCAGTAATTTTCTGTAAATCTACGTCAGTTATGGTTGCTTCTCCGCAGCTTTCTCGACTCCGCTCTGTTGCTATGACTCGTCAGGATTATAGCGCGCTCTCAGTGATTTGCTGGTCTGCGGCAGATTTAATGCGCGAGGTAAGCTGTTCGCGAAGTGCTCGCCCAAGCGGAAAAATGCGCTGTTGCTGCCAGATCTCGATTGCCGAAAATTACATTGTGTTTGATGCAAAACCAACTCGACTAAATCAAAATAAAAAAACACTAACTGTATATTTTTATTTTCTCAAGCAAAGCAAATTTTAAAAGTCCACTATATAACTTACATTTGTGACCCTGGACCACAAACCAATCATAAGGGTCGATTTTTTTAATTTGAGATTTATACATCATCCGAAAGCTGAATAAATAAGCTTTCTATTGGTGTATTTGTTAGGATAGGACAATATTTGTCCGAGATACAACTATTTGAAAATCTGGAATCTGAGGCTGCAAAAAAATCTAAATACTCCAAATAAAGTTCTTAGCAATGCATATTATTAATCAAAAATTAAGTTTTGATATATTTACGGTAGGAAATTATGAAATATCTTCATGAAACATGATCTTTACTTAATATCCTAATGATTTTTGGCATAAAAGAAAAATCGATAATTTTGACCCATGCAATATTTTTTTGGCTATTGCTACAAATATACCCAAGCGATACAATATCTACATCAGGCTACATCAGCGGTTCAGTACAAGTAGTAAACATAACCACGCGTCTGCACCATTCATTAACACATAGACGCGCAGAATTCATTTTTAAATAGTCGTTTTGCAGCTTAATATTTACAAATACTAGTGGGAGTGTGCTCACTTGTGTGCGTGCATTGAGGCGGAACTGCGCTGTGCGTGATACAGAGAGCGTAACCATGTAACGTAGAGACTGAAATGACATGCCGTCGCGTAAATAAGATAACATAAGGCTATTTAGATTGTTAAGGTATAGACCTGTTCTATAGGAAAGGTAACTTTAAATGACTTCTGTTGTGATCTGGTGCTATAGAGAAAATTTAATTAAATAAAATTAACTTGACCTTCAAGGGGGGCAGGGGGTGCCTTTGGGGGGGTGGGCCACCCCCATAATATAATGGCAGGGGAAAAACTGTACATTCGTATCACTAATTACACAGCTTCCCTTTCAAGGGAACTTCGAACTGCGTCCTCTAGGGGTCGCTATGGGGAACGCATCGTCGTGACCTGTCTGAAGCATACATTCAAAAAACACCAACAACAAGTTGGCTGGCGACAGCCCATGACGTCACTACCGGTGCGACTATAGTATAAATAGGCGCCGGGATAACACGTCATTATCTTCTTCGTTTTCATTTACTGTTTTATTTGAAGCCTGCATTCCGTGGTAAGAGCGATCTTTCCTCTTTCTTATGGCGAGCACTAGCAAGACATTTAGAAGATGTGTGCATCTGTGTCGTCGTTATTTGACACCTGATGACACACATAATCTTTGCGTCTTTTGTTTGGGCGAAGAGCACGCTGTCCTGAGATGTCCTCAAGGGGGCAATCTGCGTTATCTGGGAGCGTTTTTCGATGAAAAAGCTCCGCTCTCGTTTTTCTCTCTTTTCAAGGAGAGAGGGGCAGCCGTCTGCTCCCCGCAGTTCAGGACCTGCTGCTGCTGAGGTATGCAGGAGAATGAGCTCGTGGGGATCGCAGGCGGATCTGGCCGATGAGTTTAAAGAGGGGCTTTCCCTCTCATGCTCGTCGGCTGTGGACAAGAGTGAGCCGCTGGAGGATGATGTTATTTCCCTAACATCGTCTGATCCAGGGGCCAGTGCTCTGCTGGGTTCGGCCCAGGAAGAGCAGGAGATGTCTGAGGAGGGCAACGAGGCTGAGCCCTCCCAATCCTCCTGCCCTGCGTATGATGAGCTATTGGAGGTTATGGATCATGCCACGGTGAGGCTTGACTTGCCATGGAAGCGGGCCAAGAAAGTGACCTTGCGAGGTCATCTCGATGAGCGTTATCTTTCTGACCATAGCCCTCCAGCTCAGGTGAGCCTTCCTTTTCTTCCTGATCTCCATACAGAGATCGAGAAGGAATGGAAGAGGCCGTTTTCCTCACACATCTATCGGTACCAGCATACGAGTTATGCCAACATCGAGGGGATTCGCGAAAGCGGCTATGAGAAGATGCCCCCTGTAGAAGAGACGCTGGCTAGCTATCTCTCTATAGGTGAGACATCCTCTCTTAAGACTCCCTCCTTGCCATCTAAGCCCCTTCAGGATACATCTCGCTTAAATGGCAGGGCATACGCAGCAGCAGGTCAGGCTGTTGCTTCGTTGCACACAATGGCGGTGCTTCAGGCATATCAGGCTGATCTACTGAAAGACCTGGATAAAGGCGAGGGCCTTTCTCCCGATGAGGTAGCTGAGTTGCGCCACACCACAGATCTCACTCTCCGTGCTACTAAGCAGCTCTGCTCTCCTACTCTGCTATGGGCAGGTCCATGGCGGCTATGGTGGTAACGGAGAGACATCTGTGGTAGGGCTGTGCGATTAATCGAAATCGAATCGAAATCGCGATTTGAGATGTTGCGATTTCCTAATCTCAAACCCTGCGATATGGACGCGATATTACTCTGTTCCAGCATCTCAAATCGCGATTTCGATTCGATTTCGATTAATCGCACAGCCCTACCACAGATGTCTCTCCGTTACCACCATAGCCGCCATGGACCTGCCCATAGCAGAGTAGGAGAGCAGAGCTGCTTAGTAGCACGGAGAGTGAGATCTGTGGTGTGGCGCAACTCAGCTACCTCATCGGGAGAAAGGCCCTCGCCTTTATCCAGGTCTTTCAGTAGATCAGCCTGATATGCCTGAAGCACCGCCATTGTGTGCAACGAAGCAACAGCCTGACCTGCTGCTGCGTATGCCCTGCCATTTAAGCGAGTATCTTACACATTTTATCTCCCCAACAGATTAATTTGAAATAAGTTTATGATACATGTTCGCTATTCCCAATTCAGAAGAGTGTGTCTGTGAATGCTTCTCATACTCGCTCCTCTCTGCCCCACGCGGCCCGAATCCCGCATCACGGACGAGCCGTTCACGCTTGCCGCACTCACACAGCCCGTTTCGTAATGCTCGTTTATACTCGCACCCGGCTCAACTTTAAAAATAGTTATACCATTATAATCTTGCCTGCTGAAAAAAAAAACAATAGAACTCCTCCCAAAGCACAGTAACAAATGTAATGGATTTCAGGGTTATAATGGGAATCTTATTGGTTTTAATGTAAACTATAATGGTGTTTATTTGATGGATTCTATTGGTGGGATGTAATCTGGCAGATGGCAACCAATAGAACAACAGTAATTCCTATTGGAATAATGCCCAAAACAAAAAGGAATTTTGTAATGGTTTAATGGAAACTATAAGAATTTCTGTGATGGTTTCTATTGTTTTTTTCAGCAGGGTAATGATACCCATACTGTGCTGCACATTATTGGCAATATTGAGCTGAAGCTTGACTTTGCATATTTAAAATCGCAAATCAAATCGCAATCGCAATATCTGTCAAAAAAAATCGCAATTTGATATTTTCTCCCAAATCGCACAGCCCTAATCTGTGGGTGAACCTGGCAGATATCGGGAAGAAAGAGAGGGGCTTTCTTCTTGATGCTACGGTTTCGCCTTCCGAACTTTTCGGTACCTCCATCGAGACGGTGGTTGAGAAGTTCAGGGAGGCGAAGTAGAGCCCTGCACGGGCCTCAAATATAGGCCCTAGCCCGGACCTGGCCCGATACGCTCAGGCCCTGGCCCGGCCCAGGTCCGACAGCTCATCAGAATTTGAGTCCAACCCGAGCCCATCTCTTTTTTCCCCCCTTCTCCCAAAACAGCTTATATTACTGTTTCAGCTATTAAAATAGTTAAGTTTTGTATGTAATGTCAAAGTGATTATATTTCGTTTAGTTTTTTTATTGAGTTAATTTAGAAAAACGTTTGGAGCATTTTTTTGTTCGTTAAATGTAAGTTATTTTTTTTAAGTAACGACCAAGCGGCCAGCGGCAGACAGTGAGTTGATCATAGCCTATGTTTGATCAATTTAGCCTTCTCAAATCATCACAACTTGCCTAAAATAAAATCTATAGATATAAACCAGTTCAAGCATATCACAATGTTAGTTTAAATGTTTTACTTATGTAAATGTGCACTGTTAGATGCATACCTAATCGTTTGTGCGGAGAGCTAAATCGTGCTTTACAAGACATTGAGGAGCCGGCGCGATCACTTGCATTGGAAACAACTTAAAATATGCCGTAATTATTGCTCATAAAGGTAAGAGTAATACATCACTCGGAA